CCCCTTCCCCCCCCTTTCCCCCCCCCCCCCCCCCAGCCCCAGCCGGGGAGGGATTATCCAGTACCCGAGGCGCAGGAGACCCAGCCGGCGCGGCCGGGACCGGGGTCCAGCCCCCGCATCCCCCAGCCCCACACAGGTGCGAGGGGGGCCGGGAGCCTCCGAGCCCTCCTGGCTCTCATCCGATTTCTCCAGAGCTAAACAAATTACCCGCTTCTCGGGCCTGATTAGCTTCCCACACCCCGCACCCACACAGGGGGGGTGAGTCTGGACTCGGGACCCGCTCCAAGAAGCTGCCGGGATCCTCTGCACCCCCCAAGCAGGCAGAGGGTCCCCGGGGGGAGAGGGGACCACCCAGCACCCCTGCACCCGACCATGTGCTGGCAAGGGGAGGGGGAGCGGGGCAGGTTTGCCTGCAGCGGGTGCCGGGGCTCAGCATCGCCTCTGCCCCGCCAGGGCCCCGGGTGAAGGGGGAGAAGCACCCCGTGAAGGAGCCGCGGGGCAAAGCCAAGGCGCAGCACGCGGACCCCCCGCAGCCGGAGCATGACTTCCTCGGCTGCATGTCCAAGTAGGTGCAGCGGGGCTGCGCCGGGGTCCGGGGGGGTCTGGACCTGCCGGACACACCGGAGCAGATGCTCCCCCTCCAATTTCCACCCTGTGCCCTGCCATAAACTCATCCTTTTTTCTTTGGCGGGGGGTGGTGGGGTGTTACAGGCGCTCGGGCCTTCCTCGCTGGATCCTGGCTGCCTGCCTCTTCCTCTCCATCATGGTGATGCTGTGGCTGAGCTGTGCCAGTTTGGTGACTGCTCCCGAGCAGCATGTCAAGACCCAGGTACGGGGCGAGCGGTGCTCAGCGCAGCACGGGGGGGTCCTACAGGGGTCCCTGACACCCTAGGTCTCCCCATCACTGCTGGGTGAGACACGGCCAGGGTGTTTGTGGTCCCTGGCCACCACGCTGGGCTCGCCGGCATGTCCATGCTGCATGGTATGTCCCCAGCCAGCCCCGTGGTGTTCCTGGTCTGGGGACAAGGCGGTCCTGGCCCCTGCTCCGGGGCTGCATGGTCCCCTCTGCCTCTCTTCCAGTCTCTGAGCATCAACGGGGACAAGGAGTACCTGGAGGACCTGGACGGCCCCGGCGCCTTCCCCCTGCCACCCGTCATCGCTGTCACCCTGTGCCCTGCGCACAGCGGCGAGGATGCGGGGCCGCTGCCCCTCAAAGTCGACCTGGACAAGACCGTCCTGTAGCGCTCCCACCCCTTCCCGTCACCTCCACACCACCTCCCTGTCACCGTCCCCACGGCATCATCCCCGGTCCCACTCCGCTGCCCCTCCGGCTGCCCCATGTCCCCGGCTCCTGGCGGGGCAGCTCTGGCTCTGGCACGGGGGGACTGCGGGTACAATCTGGCTCGGTCCCGCTCTCCTCCCCAGGGATGGCCGCTGCAGAGGAGGCTCCCGGGAGCTGGGCAGCGGCTTTGCCTCCTCCATAGATGTGCTGTTTGCTGGGATCCTGGTTTCCAGCGCTCGGGAGCCAAGAGAGGAGCTGCCAGAGCGGGGAGGCCGGGGGGAGCCCATCCTCGTTAGCGGGGCGGTCCGTCTCCTCCCGACCGGAGCCCCCGGGGCCCCGCAGCCCTCCGGGCATGGGTCCAGCGCTGGGCAGGAGGGAGCCGGCTGCGGTGGGGGATGGAGAGTGTCTGCAGCGTTCTGGGCTTTGGCTCGGCACATCCCCGGCCTCCCACCTTGGGCTGAGCCTACAAGGCGCCGTCTCCGGCCCTGGGAACTCCCTTCCGCCGGCCGGAGCCGATTGCCTTGGGGAGCTGAAACGTGGCGAATGGATTTGGCGTTGGCAGCCGGAGAGAGGAGCGGATCTTGCCGCCTCCGTGCCCACGCGAGGACCCAGCCAGCCCCTTCCCAGAGCTGCGGAGGGGCCCCGGGATGGCTCCTTCCCCTCCCTGCTCCGTGATGCCTTTGGGGTGCCTGGCCCCGATGCCGACGGGCTGCTGGTGGGGCTGAGCAGGGGACGAGGCGGCGTTTCCCTGCCTCGTGCTGCTGTGGTGCGTCCAGGCTCGGGCAGGAGGTGGGAGCTGCCAGGACACCTCCGTCCTGGGCTCAGCATCCCTGCCCAATGCCAGGAGCGGCTCAGCCTGTGGGGCTGTAGCTGATGGCAGGACCTAGCGGCAGCCGGCCCCCGGGTCCCCGGGCTCACAGCACTGCCCTGGAAGTGGGGGCCAGCCCTGGGGTCTCCCAGCCAAGCGGGGACCCCCTCGGCTCACCCCGGCACAGCTCCTTGGCATGGAGGGGTCCCCTCCCTCCCCCTGCTCCACAGGGCCCCCTCCCGCAGCCGGGCTCGGTGCAAGCCGGGGCATCTCCCCATCTCCCCGCCATCCTCCATCACTTGACTTCGTGTGTCGTTTTGTGGTTTGATTTGCACCGGCATGTGGTTCATCAGCCCCGGCGCCCCGTGGGGACCCCCCTGCGCTCGGGAGGGACGGCCCGGCAGCGGCGGCGGTCCCTGCCATCCATGTGTCCACCTAACACGTCTGCACAGATTAACTTATTACCCGCGACTCCCCACCCTTGGGTTTTTAGGCTCTCTCCGTGTGCCGGCCGCTCCCCGGCGCTGAGCGGTCTCGGGGGGCCATGGCACGGTGGATGGGGGGCTCTTGTCCCCATCCCCGCCAGTTTTGTGCTGCTCTGTATCACTTTCACCCGTGCAACATATCTGGGTTTGGGGAACTGGGTTGGGGGAGGGACGGGGGGGGTCTCGTGTCCATTTTGGGGTACACTTTTCATTGTCGCTTCGTGGCCGCTCGGCTCAGCGTGAAGCTCGGTGGAGTCTGTGGTGGTGTTCTGGCCACGGCAGCTCTCCCCGTCCCCAGGGTGCCACCGCGCCGGGCCACGAGCTCAGGGGAGAGGGTGGCCACGGAGCTCCCCCCGGCTTCGCTTCCAAAGGGCAAACCCAGCCCCAAGCCGGCTGGGCGGCGCGGGCGGAGGGGAAATAAAAGGTTTGTACCAGACCCAGACGAGTCGGTGGCTTCACGGGGTGCCCGTCGCCGGCTGGGGAGCAGGTTTGAGCCCTGGCATGGGGCTGGCGGGAGGGCGCAGGTCAGTTCCCAGCTCACCATCCCGTGTTGGCAAGGTGCGCCGGGATGAAACCTCCGGCAAACCGGAGAGAAATCCCCTGCTTGGGCTGTTTTGCATGGACGCGGAGCAATGCTCCTCTCCGCTGCAGGCGGTGGGGCTGGCAGAGATTCAGCATCAAGCGTAAAAGGAGATGGTGCGTTCCTTGGGGAGCTGGTACCAACGCCCGTGGGCTGGGTGGGCTCGGTGGGTGCTGGGAGGGCGCGGGGCGGGAGGGGGCCGTGCACCCCAACATGTCCACCCGTCCGCCGCGAGGAGGAGGGGGCTGAGACACGGCAGTGGGAAGGACTGTGTGCACGTGCTCACGCGTGCATATGAAGAAGGGCTGGGGAACGAGGGTTTTTCCCACTGAAAATCGCCCGCTGACACCCGGGCACCCATTTCGAGGAGGGAAAGCGTAAATCGGGCCGTGCACGCGCACGACACGTCAGCGTAGCGTGCTGCAGCTGCCTGGGCTCGAGGGCTGGGACGCGCTCGCACGTGCACGCGCCCACCTTTCCCCGCGGCGTGTGTTTTTCCTGGCGCGGCGCCCGTGTCCACGCCACAGTCGAGCTCTCCCCATGCCAAGCACGACACAAAAGCTCATGCAAGGGCCTGGAGGCTCGTTTTTAGCACTTCAGTAGCTCAGCGGGGTCCCGTCCTTGGAGCCAGCGGTGGCGTGGGGCCCCCGAGGAGCTGGGGCTGGTGCTGGCCTCAGCTGCTTGTTTTCTCCGGGATGCGGAGCCAGGGACAAGGAGGTGCTGCCCGACCCTGGGGAGGGCTGCGGATGGGTGCTGGGGTGCTCAGTGTGAGTCGCAGGATCTCCAAAGGGGACGCAGAGCCTGCTCCGCTGCCTGCCAGCTGCCTCCGCTGCCGGAGCACGGCCCCCACTTGGCCCTAAACTGGGGGTGCGATGTCACCCCCACGCAGCGCGGCAACGCCGGGTGCTGGAGGGGGATGCTGCACTCTGCGGGCTGGGCTCAGCTCGCTGAACGGAGGGGAGAGGGATGATGTTTTCAGCTCCCTGCCTGCCCTGCCTGCGCAGCAGGCAGGGAGCCGTGTGGAGGATGCTCCGGGCAGCCCTGGCTGTGTGGGGCTGGCGTGGCAGGCAGTGTGTGCCATGGCCACATTGCCCGGGCAATGGGATTTGGGGGTTGCACGGTGCCCTCAGCAGGCAGCTGGGTGCCTCGGGGTCCCAGGGTGGGCGAGAGGTGTCGGGGGCCGGCAGGATGAGAGGGAAGGGCTGAGAGATGGGAGTCCAGCGCTGAGCAGCCTTTGGGGTAGGTGCAAGCGGATCACCCAGAGGCCAGAGCCCCCCGGCCAGGGCCAAGCCACCAAGTGCCCCCCGGATGGCGTGGCAGGGGGGTCTTTCTCCAGCATTTTCCATACGGAGTCCAGGGCATCAGGGCTGAGCCCCGTTACGGGCTGGGCGAGGGTGCTGGCAGCCGCTCACTCCCGGACACCCTGCGGTGACGGAGCAGCAGTCGGGTGCAAGCAGGAGCAAAGAGGGAAACCCCGGGACGGTGCTGCCCGGGGGTGGGACCCCCAGTGCAGGGCTCTCTGCAGCCCCCTGCCACGGGCTGGTGCACAGAGAGGTGGCAGGGCACAAGATGGGGGCAGACAGCTGGTAGACTCTGCCCGCCGCGGGCAGCGGCTCTGAGCGGGTCCCCTCCTGGGATGGGAGCCGGGCTACGAACCGTGGACAAGCTCCTTGCCTTTAAACTGGAGTCAGATTCCTTGTTGCTGGCTCGGGGTGCAGGAAACCATGCCCAGGAGCAGGTGAGGAGGGACCCCACTCTAACAAGAAGGAGACGCATGAAATTAGCTGGTTCCACTCCCCCCAGCAGGCAGCCGGGGTGTTTTCCATCCGACGCCTTTTCCTTCTCGCTCCCTCTTTTATTTTTTCACGGGGGAAGCAAAATTCGTGGTGTGTGGCCCCATTGGCAGCGGGCAAGCCAGCCCACAGCAGAATCGCACCCTCCAGCCCATGGCTGGTGGAGAGGACGTGGGGAACACCAGCCCGTGGTGGGTCTCGTCCTCGTGAGCACCTGTGTGCCCACGCTCGCCTCCCGCGTGTCCAGCCACGGGTGGGCAAGAAATCGCAGACCGGTAGGTGGGGACTGTTAGCCACGCTGTGGCAAGAAGCAGCCTCAAAAAGCAGGGGGAGGCCAGCAAGCTGCCCCCCATGCCTCTGCCACGGACCCCTGCAGCATCTCCCCGCTCGTGAGATGCCGTCGCTCGGCCTCCGTGCCAGCAGCGGGTGCCGAGGGTTGCGGGGGTCTCGCCGGCTGTGGTTGGGGTCGGCAGCCCCCCTGGCCGCTCTCTCCGTGGCTGCGTTGGGCTGCTGTTCTCACCTCCGGAAAATGCCCCCTCCTTTCTCCCCCCCAGATCTCAGCTGCCGGGAGCTGGCCCGGCTCCACCGCCGCTCGCACACTCCAGCTGAGGAGCCGGGCCACGCGGCGAATGCATTTGCGCACAGATTTCCCTCCCCTCTTGCCGTCTGCTCCCGACGGCGTCGTTGGCCCCTATTTCTCATCGTGCTCTCCATGCCGAGGATGGCTTTGGGAGCACCCGCAGCTCCTTGTCCCACTGTCGGGTGCCCGCAGCCCTGTGCCGTGTCCTGCCGGGACATCTCTGCTTGGGAAGAGCATTGGGGTCTGTGGTCCGGAGATGCGCACAGGGCAGAAAGCCCAGGACTGGGACAGCAGGGTGGGGAAGGACTCCGAGAAGTCCCTGCCTTGCACACATGCGTGCCCACCCCCATTTTCATGATTTGTGACTGATTCTCCTGATTCGGAGTGGATGCGGTGTTGGTTCACCTGGGTCTGCACCCGTCGTTCCCCTTCGCTCCTTCCCAGGGAGACGCTGCTGGACACAAAGCAGCCGGGGGGAGGTTTCTTATTCTCCTCTCGTGTTGGAGGAATGAGGGTCTTTCATGAGAAAGCGCAATCAGAGTGGAACAGTGGTTCTGGGCCCTGCCAGAGCAGCGCTTTTGAAGATGATGGAAAAAGAGCCTGGGCTCCCATCTCAGCTGGGGAAAGGAGATTTTCTAGCTGCTCCAGCTGCCTCTCGCTGCCCCTGGCCCGGCTCCTGCTAGCACATGGCTGCAATCCGGTGCTGTCCTGACC